CTGCTCCTTCCCAAGCCTGGAAGAATGACTTTTCTGCAATAGCCTGGGTGGAAACCTTGCTTCCAAACCGAAGCTGAAAAATCTTGCAAAATCACATGATTCCACAAGCTGGAGCTTCTAAAGGAAAAAAAAAAAAAGAAAAACCCAACAAAAAACCCCAACGTTCAGCTCCAGGAGCAGATGTCACCCAACCACGAGGAGCCCCATGGGATATCAAATCACATGCAAATAACCTGAGATTTGCATTCAAAGCCGTGAGAAACCCACCCCGGTGAAACGGATTTRATGCTGTGCTTCAGGACTGGAGCCACCCTCTGCTGTGGGTCAGGGAGAGGGTGCTGCTGGGGTGCCCAGATTTGGGGTCCTGCCCCATTTTCTGGAGGATCACACCCTGGATAAACAGCTTGGGAGGATGGAGAGAGGCTCTGAGGCCTGTCTGGCAAGTTCTGTCTCATGTTCTTTTCTCCGGGGTCAAAATCCTCCTTCCTCTGTCCTGAGCTGTACCTGGAACTAGGCAGCCTGTTCCAGTGAGAGAAGTAATTACCATGAGTTCATAGCATTTATTTTTAATGAGCCTGGTCAGAATCTTCATTTAGTATTTTGATTCATTTTTCTGCGCTCGGCAGCTCCTGACGTCTCCAGATTTTGCTCTCCTGGAACTACTGCACGCAGCTTCTAGACCCAAGCCAGACAGCGAGGTGCTCCATCACCAAAATCCTGACTTTTCTCATTAATTCTCAGGTTCTGAGGGGTGGTAGGGCCCAGCTCTGGCCGTGTCTGGGCGCTGTAGGAACGGGAGGATCGAGGATTGAGGCGCTCTCGTGTTTGCTTGTTTCCGCCCACCGTTTAAAGTGCATCAACAATTCCTTCCCGGCAGCAAAACAAGGCAAGAGCTGGTACTTTTAAGGTAATTCTGACATCCGTGCTATGAATAGATCCTCATGGAAATTTGCCCTCGCCCGTCAGCTCCCTGGGTTTGATGCTATGGTGGGGAGGGGCACGAGGACGCTGCCATCGGGGCACTATGGGGTCTGGGGATGGTTTGGGATGGAAGGGACCTGAAAGAGATCTCATTCCTCTTGAATGGGAGAGATCCATCCCCAAGATCACAACCTCCAGGCTGGGGGTGGTCCATCCCAAAGCACAGCTCAGCTCAGGTGAGGGGATGCAGCCCCTTCCCAGCCAGGCAGGTCCCACACAGCATTCCCGCTCCATCCTCACCCCAAAACAGCCCTTTACCCTGACTTTTAGGAAATATTCCCTGTTTTTGCCTTCCTCAACCATTCCYGAGCCATTTGGTCGGTAAGTCCCGATGCACCTGCTAAGAGAGGTGTCACCAGTGCCACTGCAGGGCTGGGAAAGTGGGACAGAGAGCAGGACTGGGAGAGGGCTCCACCCCGGCAGCTCCCACCGCTCCGCTCCCCGCTCCCCACGACAGGAATATTTCCCAGCCCGGGCCAAGAAAACCCACTTGCCTACTCAGCCAGTGCTAACAATGCAAACACTAATTATATTTCCCTCACCTATCAAAGGATGATTCATTTTAGGTGAGTGGGCACGGAGATTACACAAGATGAACACCACCATGCCATCGCCCGGCCCTTTCAGGGTAGCCCTCCCGAGGAACGAGGATGGAGGGAACACCCAGGACATGCAGGATGGGGAGAGGGCTGGCAGCAGGATGAACCTGGTTCACAGCAGGCACCTCCAGCCTGGCCCATTCCCTCAGGAATTGGGCTGGTCCCATCCCACAGCCCCTGGYTGGTTTGGGATCCCAGTTGTTCAGCTGGGAAGAGGTGGAAGGAGGAGGAAAACAGCAATGCCAGGGATGGAAAGGGCAAAAACAGGTTTGGGGCTTCCTTCAGYCATCCCATGCCATCCACATGGTTCCAGCAGCTCAACCCAGCCCAACGCAGAGCACTCCCATGGGAATTGTCAACTACAACTCCTGGTGTCCCCGGGGTGAAATCAGGGAGCATCCCCAAAGTGTCACTGGCGGTGATGTCCCCTGATCTCCAGCCCTGCTGGGAAGAGGGGCTCCAACCCTCTGCTGAGGGTCCCAGCAGCTCTGACCCACTGATCCAGGGGGATGCAGCTCTTTTCACCCTAAACAAGGGAACAATTCCCTCTCCGGAGYTGGGGTGAATCAAACGGGAGCTTCAACCTCCAGCACCCGACTGAGGCAATCCTGGGGAGTAAATCAGTAATATCAATCCTGCTTTATGTAATATCAGGGTGCTCTGGAGCRGGCAGGGGGATCAGGATGTCTGAGGGAGGAGTGAGGCGACGGGGACAACGGGATGGGGCACAGGCTGCGTGCCAGCCATGCCGGGGACGCTCAGCAATGCGTGGGCTCCTGGGACAGCAGCACGGCTCCCTGGGCTCATCTGGGCTCTGTGCTGGTGGCCACCAACCCACCGGGCTGGGCAAGCAGGGTTTGCCATCCCCAGGGGTCAGGGATTGTGTGGGATGGGCGTGGGGGGCTCGGTGGTGTGTGGGGACGGTGTGGGCAGTGTGGCGTGGGAGGTGTGAGCTGGGCGAGCTGAGCGTGGGCTGCCCGCGCCGGCTGAGGGGCTAGCGAGAGCCCCTGGCCACCGTGTGCCATCCCTGCCACCAGTGCCATGCCAACATCCCTCCCTGGCACGCCTGGGAACAGGAAAACGGGAGAGAATCCATGAATCCTGGGGCTCCCCGAGCCTCGCTGCGCATTTAGGGCCCCATCCCCTCAGCCGGGGCTGAGGAGCTAAAATAAAAATGGTGTGCAAGGGATGAATATTTATCTGTGGGTGGCGAGTGACAGATGCTGGGGCGAGGATTCTTGGATCCTGGAGTTTGCTGGAGGTAATAACGGGAATGGATTAATGAGAAACGGCCCATCCTTCCCAAGAGTCGCCTCCCTGGTGCCACCGCGCCCGGCACGGCGGCCTCTGGGAGCCAAACACACAAAGTTCAGCGAGGCCTGGTGTCCAAAAGGCTGGAGATGGCCAGCTTTTGGTGTTTTTCACCCAGAATGGAGCTGTGGCCTGTGGGTGCTGGGAGCTGAGTTGGTGGAAGAGGCCTCTGAGGCGATTCTGGCCCAGCTGGKGTGGAGGAGCATCCACRGTTATCAACACCCTGCGTTTCCCCWGCACGGCATTCCCTCCTCCGTGGAAGCTCTGCAGAGTCCCAGGGGGACAATTTCGCCACAGACCCTGCCCTTTCCCAGCACCGATCCTCCTCCCTCCTCCCAACATCGCGCCACATCGCCGTCGGGGCCCCGAACGCCGGCGAGCCGGGCCGGCCTGACAAGATGGAAGGAAAAGCTCTTGGCTTCTGGTAGGTTCTCAGGAAACGCTGAAACTGCTGCTGAGCCACCCCAACGTGGGGATGCTGCCCAGGTTTCCCTAAAAACCGCTGCTCTGCAGAGGATGGGGAGCGTGGCGGGGCTGGGGCACGTGTGTGGCCGGGGTTGGGGCCAGCCCTGCAACACCCGGCCCTCAAAAACCTGTAGTTAGCCCAGACTTGTGTCTGCCCTCCCTCAAACCTCCYAGGCAGGGGCTGGGTGCCAGGAGGAGACAGCACCCACGTTGGGAACGGGCAAAATCCTCCCTCCCCAGCCCCTCCTGCCCGCCTCGGACGTGGGAGACCGCGACGATTCCCTGCCCAAGGTTTATTCTGGGCTGGAGGACTGCTGGGATTGATCCATGGCTTCCAAACACACACACACCCGATCCCAGCTCAGCCTCCAGCATCCTTCCAGGCAGCCGAAACAAAAGCTTGCAGCTCTCTTTTTTTTTTTCCTTTGGGATAAAACCACCGGCATGAAATCATCGTTAAAAACCCCGAGGTGTTTCCACGCAACMAAAAAAAAAAAAAGCACAAAAAAAAAAGCAGCCGCAGGTGAGGTTCAACCACCCCTCCCCGTGCAACCACAAAGCAGCAAACTGGGTTTTCCAGAGCAAGGTCTTGCAGCACCTTTTCGGGGAGGTTGCGATGGAGCTCCCCGACGCTGCAATTTCCTCGCCGTGGCCATATGGAAAACCATAACGTCCTAAAAATAACCCGTGAGCCTGCTTTAGGCGGCCACGATTTCTGGGAAAACAAGGGGCCAGCAGAGCCCCGGTGGCCCCGGCTGCTGGCAGGTAGGCCTGCCTGGGATTATGGTGGCAATTCCGACCGTGGAAGTAGCCACAACCCAGGAGACAGGATGATACAGCCACTTAGAGYGCAGCACCAGCTGTTTCTCCCAGTTCAGCCCTAAAGCTTGTTAGCCCAGCAATTTTTTTGGGTTTGATCGCTCCAATTGGGTTTYCTTGTTTTTCCTCTAATCCCAGTTTCCCCTCAGCATCTCGTTAAGCCGTGTTGACGGCAGAGCAGAGCTCTGGTGATCCCTCTGAGCCCCTACGCTAAGTATTAAGCCGTAAACTAGGAATGTAAGACTCTTGTCTGAATTAAAGTCTTTTCCCTGGCATTATTGAGCGTGGGGATACCTTTGGAGGGGCTGGAGGAGGTGCAGAGCCCCCCAATCCTGGCTGGGAGCCCTGGAACTGCCCCATCCGCCCCGAATCCCCCCCACACACGCTCGCCTCCATCCTGCCCCGCGTCGTTCCCATGCAAATCCTACAGGTTCCAGTGGTGCAGTCAGAACTGCCAATCCCATGTGCAACTTGGGTTGTCTCCCAAAGGCCTGGTCCAYCCCAGCCTCTGACCCTTCTGGGCCAGAGCTGGGCATCCCCTGACCGGCACAGCCCGTTCCACACTACAAAAACCTGCGTGGGGAGAGGAAGGAGGGAGGGCCCGGTGCCCAGGGACCCCGTGGAACATGGGGGGCTACCTGTGGCTAAGGGCTGGGCCAGTGCCATGCCAGGCTGGCTGCTCATCCCCTGCGGGGTGGGAGCATCCCTCCATCCAAGCCAGCAGGTTGCAAACTCCCAGACTCCGACCCAAACCCCGCTGGGAGGTTTGCACCCCTCCCTCCACCCCACCTGCCCCAGCCAGGAAGGGATGGATGCATCACCTACCTCCATCCGAGTAGGTCTCTGTCCCGTAGCCATCCTGTAATCCATTGCTCCAGGTGCCTTCGTACTTGGCCCCGTTTCCAGTGCATTCCCGGACCCCGTACCGTCCCTTAAATCCATGGGTCCACTCTCCTTTGTACACCCACTTCCCTTTGCTCTCCATGCCAATGCCATGGCGCTTGCCCTGCGCCCAGGTGCCCTGGTAAGTGTTGCCACTGGGCCAAGTGTAGACCCCCAGCACCTCAAAGCCGTGACTCCAGGAGCCTGAATATTCACCTTGACCCTTCGGGCCGGTACAGATTCCATGGCCATGAGCCTTTCCGTCCTCCCAGCCTCCACAGTACGACCCTCCATCGTCAAAATTAAACCTTCCCCCACTGGACATGCATGTAATTCGGTTTGCAAATCTCCCA